ATTTTTATATACTAATTTTCTCATAACCCTGTGGCTTGTTGTCTCTAATTTGCATGCGACCGAGGAAGCAGGGGCGACAACCCACCGGGTTTATAAAGACTTGGTTTATAAAGAGGGTGTTATATACTTAAAATATGGAAAAGACTCGGGCAAAGGGAAGTATACACCCATGCATGATGGTGACACAAAATGAGACAAACAAGAAATGGTCATTCGACGGTGATGCAATTTCATACAGATATCATAGTTGTGTTTTGGAACTTTAGTTTCGGCGACTGTTTTCAGACAAGTAACGTTTGTAATGTTTTGGTTAATTATACAACAATGTAGACATGAAAGTGTTATTATTTTTGTAGGTGGTATAACGGACACTAACTTAGTTGAACATACACTAACCGTAATATTGAAAATATTTCAATATATTGAATTTAATAGCGTGAAAATAGATAATAGTGGGGGTGGGTGTGGGGGATAAAAATATAGTGGCTTTGGCTTATCTTTATTTCAACGTGGTCTATGGCGACGTGTCTGTCTGGTCCGTCTCAGTAACCGCTATACAGACAGACAGACAGTCGGACATATCCATTGGACGTTACAAAATAAATTTGATTTAACACTTCATGCTGTAGACGCATGTTTACAGTGCGTTACGCCACAGTGATCTATATGCCCGTTCTTACTCCCCGATCAATATTTCCTTGCGATAGCTCCTTCCGGTACATAATAAGGGAGCGGTTTAAAAAGTTCAATGACGGAGACAAATAATTCCTCCAGTTTTGGGATGCCCATCATGGAGGTTGACATGTCTGCACGTTTTCCGTGGCGGTGAAGGATGTTGTATGGTGGTGACACAATACCACAGGAAATTCGTTTTGTGTCCGATATTGAATCGAACTTTTGAGCTCGTGTGTCATGTTCGTGAGGATCGCATTCCGGATGCAAGTTAATATGATATGTGAGGGTCACGGAGACATCGTCACCGTGTGCTGAATACAGGATATATATTACATGAGCCTTTATGTGCATGAAATTAATAACTTCATGTAATATAACAATACATATGCCCTCAATATATATTACTCAAAATATGTTAGGGAGCACTCGATTCTTTTCATATGACAGTAGTTAATAGACAGATCAACTATATACATATGAAACAAATCGGGTGTTCCTTAACTTATTTTGAGTAATATATATTGAGGGCATATGTATTGTTATATTACATGAAGTGATCAGACAGATCAACTATATACATATGAAACAAATTGGGTGTTCCTTAACTTATTTTGAGTAGTATATGAAAAAGATGGGATGTGTAGTATTTTCAAAGTTTATTTTCTTGAATTTAATCGTCATTCGGGTAACGCCGTGCGAGTTTTAGCTGGAGGCGAGAGAAGAGAAAAAGTTCGTCTGGTTTCAGGTCTGGAGTCGAGATCTTTTAATACGTTGGGACTATTATATTGCCAGGTCCCCGACGTGCGCGGATTATGAGATATGAAATAGACGTGACAATTCCAGGAAAAAAATGACACAAAGGAATTAACAGCATTCATGACAGCATTCATGACAACATTCGTGACAACTCGTGTCAGTTGATGTCAAGCCAAAATGCAGGCCACGGAAGAGGCGAGTGGTGGCGAATGCAACAACGAGTGTGTCATAAATACATATTTATAGAACATTATCGGGGTTTTATATTTACATTCACATATTGTTACGTGGCTGCATAATGGTTTACAAGTGAAGGCGTTATCTGAGACGCGGCTGTAGTAGATACATTTGATTGTCTGGAACTGACAATTGAAATGGTAGTATTACACATATGTACACACATATAATATACTTAAACACTTTGAAAAATGGTCACAAAAATTATGTTGTTCTGGGTGTTCAGGCATGAGCTAATGAAACACAACAATGTCGTCATACGGGTTTGAATCTTTTTCGACGTGTTTGGAGATGGCTTGAGCACAAAAACACAAATTTTATGATTTCCAGTTAAAGTTGATAGTTTTGTTTCGTTTTCAAAATGTGTACTATTCAGCTTAAAGTCCTGTTCGTGATATGAATACCAGCATATCTAGCTCTAGTTTATAAGTTCCCAACATCAATTATAATAAAAACGCCAAATCAGTGTTCAACATTTAGATATGCCCTGACCTATGTTTAGCATGTCTGGTTTGCTGTGAGTAACAGCTGTTTCCGGAGTTAGTCCCCATGATGATTGATTGCAGATCTGTCAAACTGTCAATCACATTCATCAAACATAACAAGCAAAGACATCATGATAGATATACAAGCTTATGTTGTGGTGATAAGTGCTGCTTATTTATTGTGTGATTCATATGTTGTATTTCAAACTGACAGTTTGTGAATGACTCTTAACTTAATTATCTTGAGGTAAATTTTGTAGGTATGATCATAGACTCGTAGTAAGCGTCCATGGTTTAATGTACGGAATTAGCATATTTTAGGTATTTGGTAATATGATCTTCTGTAATGCACCAATACGCTGTATATATCACATAAGATGTTAAAACATAAATATTTAGCCCTCATAGTTTATAATTTTAACTGAGGTCACGGGTGGCCGAGTCGTCTAAGGCGCAGAGATTGGTTGTGCAGAGTTGCGTCCCTTCGGGACGCCAGAAACCTTTGATTGAGGGTTCGAATCCCAGTTCGCCTGTATTATGTTTCTAGGTTTTGTCAGCTGGGCTGGGAAGGATAGTGTAACACAGGGGATGTAACTCGTACCACCATACTCTTTTCTCGTTGGTGAAGAATTGGTATTTTATGTACGATTCGTATGTTAAATTATGAGATTACGTGAGTTTTGAAGTACACAAGTGCCTACAGTCAGTGTTTGTACACAACTGGTTACTGTGCTGACCCATCAAGGCACTCGTAAATAATCAGAGAGAAGAGGTAGTGTTTCATGAGGTCACTATTACAAAAGGAATTCAGAAGTATAAATTAACTGAGGAGCCAAAGAACCTATACGTCTCATTTCATCATATCCGATGTTGGATTTTCAGTTGAAAATATCTTCTTAATTTACAGATATTATATCGCATAATGCGCACTGTGGATGAGTACCTTAGCCATCTTACCTATAGATCATATAATCAATAATTTACTTTTGGGGCAGAAATTTACAACATTTCAAACATGGTAGAGGTCACGTGGTTGCAAATTCATTTCTTACCCCTGTCTTCATTCATCCAATTTTTTTACATAAAATTATCCAGACACACATTGCTTTTTTCAAACTGTTGCAGGAACGAGTGATGGTTAAATAGACATAATCAAATTTAACAACATATCTTAGAGTTTCCAATTACATAAAAAAAAAAAACTTGGTGTACTTTCTTTTGCCACTCAGTTTATGTATTAAGGAAAGATTTGTTTGGAATGTGTTTATGTATGTCTTGAAAAAAATAATCAACATGAACAGCCTGGTGTTCTTATGTAAGATATGTACATACATTTGATGGGAATCTCACCTTAGGTCACACACAGGCTCAATGGTTTGCTTAAGGAATTTGAAATTTAGGCATTCCCCACATATTTCTTTGTCATAAATATTTACGTTACATTGCTATTTGTCCAAAACGTGTAGTTCAGTTTTGCGTGTTGTTTAACGTCGCACTAAGCATTATTCCACCTATATGACAGTGACCGAGCACTAATCAAGTCTGGACCAGATAAGCCAGTGATTGATACCATTGATAGAATCCAATGTACAACGATTAGACTGACACTTAGTCCCAGATATAAAGTTATCTTATTTAAAAATATGTATCTACAAAATAAACAAAATAAAATCCAAATGGAACCCTTAACAAACAATCCTTTATTTTAGAGCGAGAGGCAATCTAGACTTGACAAATCATTCTAGACTTGAGTTGGGCTCTTTTTTTTCAATTTAATCTCTAGGGTCTGGGAGACAGACCATACAATGAGATGCAATCAACCTGGTCAGTAAGCCTCATCACCTGACCCATTGAGTCATCTCTCACAACCAGCACGTTTGCTTAGAACGTATTCTAACAGGAATCCCTACAGGTAACAAAGTCTTCAAGAAAGAGCTCCGTGTTCATATCTTCAAGTGTCGTTCACATGTGTCAACACAGACGTATCGGCATCAGAAACCCATCTTCAAGCATCTCCTTCATCCCACAAGCCCCTTTACCCTGTGGGTCCACCTCAAGCCACTGAACACACTAGCCGTCTGATACCTCAACATCGTTATATGACGACGGCCTGTAATAAGAAAGTTGTGACCAGAAGAAGACAGTGACAAACCCTCATAAATAAAAAACGTCATAAATCAATCCTGACGGACTCCCAAAAGTGCAATGTGAACACGTAGAAACTCTAAGTCAATATATTTGTCTTTCTTTATTTTGAATAATACAACCAAGAATACATGACAAAGTTTCATGGAAACCTACCTCTCCATTCGAATACAACCCTGTTTCTCAAAACACCTTTGAAACACGACTTGATAATTGTCATGACGCCGACATACTGCTGTTTGTTCATAATAAAACTCTAGCACTACACCATGTAACATTTGACGTCATTAGTGAACTTCCTACTGTATTGTATGTCAAAAGTTAGTTTATATTTCAATGTCCGTTTGAAAATAGACAACTGCGAAGATGAAAACTGATTGAAGCGAACGTAAAGCACTTATCAGTAGCAACCACCGGTACACGTGGAGCGTATCAATTTTGACCTTAGGTGACATTTCGTTCTGAAATTACTCCGCTACCGACGCCGGAAAATGAAACTATTATTATAATAAAATTAATTCATATTTTCTTTAATGTCAAACTACTGTTTAAGATCAATAGTACTAAACTATTATTATTCATGACTATGTCAGTTGCTACTTCGCTGAATGCATACACGATATAAATTTGAGCGCTATTTCGCGTGGCGGAACCATACGCGTGACGCGGCTTCTGTGACGTCACACCAGGAAGCGACTTTGTCAATGCATATGGGACCACATGTGTATTTTTACCTAGCTCCGCCTACTGCGGGTGACAGCGTTGTAGACAGAATTACACGCAACACTACCGTAGCCGCGCGAGTGGGAAGGAGGCGGCCTATGAGACGACCATATACACATTGTCCAGTGAACTGTCCCATAACGTTTTACATCGCTAATCGGGACAGTCGTGTGTGTGGGATATATACATGTTAGCAACCACTGTGACTGGCCATTGCAATAACGTTAACGTTGAACCATTATTCCATGGATGGAGTATTGGTCCTGTGTGATATGTGTGTTGTACCATAACTATACATTGTGTCCATGACCTGATTGGTAACAGTTCTTTGGGTGGATTGGCATTGTTGTTTGGAAATTGACATCAGCGACAAGCAAATGGAATTTTATTAACATTTGCTGCGAGTTGAAGTAGAATGGTGTGCACTTTGTGACAATAACTTGGCTGCCAGCACAACACCCGGTAGCACAGGGTAGCACAGTGGGCTACCCCCGGGAAGTCACTTATTGGAGGGTGGATTACCCTAGCTCGGAAATTATTCTTTGGTGTGATGCCTTCGAAGTCTAAGGAGATGGCTGATACCATGAGGGAGATGACACGTGCCCCGACCCCAGGGCGAGCGCGGTCCCGACCCACGGGACGACCGTTGTCCGTACATCATAGTAGACATAATCTCAAACATAGGTTTGAGTTGGTGAAGACGCTTGGGGAAGGCACGTATGGAAAAGTCAAGTTGGGGATTGAGAGAAACACAGGAGAACAGGTAGGTTATCCACCCTTACTCCACCCGATTCAACACACCCACCCCTTCAAACGTGGGTAAATGGGGATCACATGTTTGCACCCCTCTAACCATTAGAAATGAACATGACAATTTTATTTGCTGCAATGACACCAAGAAAAATGTCTTGATTCCTTTTTAGTCTCTTTATATTTTCTTCAAGACAAATGACATATAATGTGATAACCTTATCTTGCTTTGTAAGTGGCCATCTGTTCTGTTTCCAGCATTTGATGAATGTTGAGTTTCTTTTGACAGGCTGAAATATTGCTGAAGTGGTATTCAGTCACATTTCATTGTGTAAAATTTCATCACAGTGTCAATATGCTTAGTTTAATGAACAGACATATTTTATCAGGCTTTTGACTTTCAAGTGGAACTTTCTGTGTTTAGGGTTGGTAAAATTCTCATTTGATTTCATGTCAGGTTAAGCTTTCATCAGAGAATGTGTTACAGTAATGAAAATAAACCTTAAAAAAAATATCTATCCTGACTAGTGATAACATATAAGAACACCCCTAAAACCTTAATTTCTATTCACTGTAACCTATAACATAAAACAATTGGCTTAAGGGCTTGGGCCTAGTTGCATCCCAGTTATTGACAATAATTTATATGATTATGAAATATGCCTACAGTAGTAAATGTGATGCTATAAATGACAATTGTTATGACAATTTTATTTTTGTGCATATTCTCACAATTTTATTTTGTCATTTCTGTCAACATGGACGTTTATAAAAATCCAAGGTTGTAAATTTGAGTCATGTCAAAACTGGCTGCTTTAAGAGGAGTTGTAATTCAGAGAAAGGGAAATGGGATGTAGTTACTCAGAGATGGACAGAGCAGACTGTCTGTAATTAATAGTCATGCACTGTCCAGCCAGCCTGACCATTCTCCTTTCCTAAGCTGATAATAGGTGTCAATCACTCTCTGATGGACAGCTATAGACAATTAACTACTGGTGAAGTGTTTATTGCACAGCCAGGAGGGCAATACCACTGTTAGCTTCAAAACACCGAAGATCACTGTATCACTCATCAATATACTGGTAGTGTTTTTGCATTGCAGAAATTTCTAAAATACGCTTCAATGATGAAATATGATATTTGAGATATGACAAAATAGCAAATGATGCATTTCATTCAAGGAGCAAAGAAAAATGTAGTTGATTAAAAGATGAAATGAGGGAAATCACATTGACAAAAATTATCAGACATATTGCAACAGTGTATGATAAACATGGATTGGTATGCATGCAATAGTGTATACTTTTGCATGACAGAAAATGCACTATTGGGCCATTATTGTTAAAAATACATACTGAACAGAAAAGCAAATGTTTTTAAATTCCTAAGGACAATAAATTGTAATTAAAGTAAAACAATATATAACAAAAATAATAACTTATCCGTCTTCCTGAATATGTTTTGTGTTTTATTCATGAAAATATGAAACTTGTGAAGAGGTGACTGGGAAAAATCTTTAACCAAAAGAAATATCAAAAGTGTGGCCTATTGGCATGCCTTGTGGGTTAATAGAAAGTTAATAAAACTTGTTTGAAGAAAACCAGGAAAAAGAGGCCGTGAATCACTGATGACTGTTACTGTGTAACCGTATGTCACGAGACGTGTGTCTTTGGCAAAACCATGGAAGTCCCTATTTACTGAAGAATAAACTCTCAAGGCAATCTGCAGTATCAAATTATTCTGGATTATGCTTTTATTGACTGGATATGAATCCATGCCCTGGAACTCGCATCTTTAGACCTCCTGTCCTTGGTGAAACGACCCTCCATTGTCGACCAATTCTGCTAAACAAAAAATAAATTGAACAAAGAGCTGAAGCTGTGGATCAGCATAATAGGAGAAGATAGAAGATCCATGTACAAATAATTTTAATCTTGTAGAATTTATCTCTTGTTTCTGTGTCTCTGTATTAGCTGAAGTTCAAACATAAGAGTTGGATTTTGACAAGGACAGGATTTTTTTCCTGTTTGACATCAAAGTCAGCACATCCCTGAATCTGTGTTGATAAAAAGATAAGGATATGTTCTTATTGAAGAAAAACCTTCCTATTCTGGTTCCTCATGCACAGGGTCAGTTCAAAATTGTTTGTTGCTGTCCGTTTACACAGCAGAATGCCCCCCCACCCCCCTTCTTGAGACAGACTCTTATTCATTCTGAGTTATTTTTTAGAATTAGGCTACTTTTAGGAATTCTTTCTATTTTTGTTTCGGACTGAGGATTAAGATCACAAATAATTTATGGACAACAGAATGTTGTAAGACTTGTAAATAACACAAAAGGATTATGTGTTGGTGTATATTTCCAGAATGTTGAATTTATTTATTGATATTTCCCCCAATATCCTGTGTTAAAGTCGAAATCCTTGCTTAAAAGTGGCTTATCAAAGTGCAGTTCGGTTAGAGTTAACCTGAAACTATGTCTAAAATCTGGTGTAGTATTGATTTATGAGGGAAAGTAAGATAATAAATACAGCACATGCTAGTATCTGTCATATCACCATGCTTGGTGTTTATTTCAAGATGTCACATGCACATTATCAATTGATGAAGAATGTTGCTCTCTGTCGCTGTGGGCTGAACATGACAGTGGTGAAATTGGTGGATCGGGAGTGAAATGCACATCCAGTTTGTCGGACACCTCACATGTCAGTCAGCTCATGTCGGTCCTTCCACTTCTGCATCCCTTCTGTTTCATGATTCGGCACCTGCTCCTGTAACATCTGGTACTGTTGGACAACATCCCAATTTACAGGCACTACGAGACAGAAATAACAACCTCTGAACCTTGTGTAAAGAGCTTTTTGTAAACCAGTAGGTTAAAAATTCAAATCTAAATCTACTATTTTATGTGTCCAAATTAACATTTGGCGGTATGCATGTTAAGTAAGGATAAGAATATATGGAGGAACAACTTCTTTATTACAATTAAGAACAACGTTTCGGTGTAGGTTCTAACACTGTTATGAAGCAAGTGATGATGCAGGTTGCTTTATGATGGTATTTCATTAAGAGGTGAATCTGTAGTTTTCTTTAAAAATATGTTTTTGTGTGTTGGGTTCTGATTTTAACCTTGCCACAGAGAAAGAGAACATTCTCGAGCAATTACCAGGAGATTACACACGTTTTGAAGTACTCGACCACATTCATTGTTTATACACAACCGGTTACTGTGCTGAGATATTTTTTTACTAAAATCCTAGGCAATTCTAGATCAAACTAAACCAAGTCTAGTTTCCTTGATTCCACACAGAAGAAGAAAATTACCATTATTTTAAAGAAATGTTTTCATAGAGTAAATGTAAGTCTAATAATCATCCTTTGTAAAATGTTATCATGTTTCAAGCAGTTCTTTCTACACCAGCACACCAGGGATATAAATGTATTTTCTAGTAAGTTTGCCACAGGATGCTCGTGAATGTGTTTAGATGTCCCCTTTGGAATGAAAGCGTGGCAACAAGAAGTGTTTGGAAAGTCAGGTGACCATGAGCTAGGTTGCCACCTTCTTCTCCTTGAGATGGGGGCGGTCGGGTAGCCTAGTGGTTAAAGCGTTCGCTCATCACGCCGAAGACCCGGGTTCGATTCCCTACATGGGTACAATGTCCATTTCTGGTGTCCCCCACCATGATATTGCTGGAATATTGCTAAAAGCGGCGTATAACCATACTCACTCACTCTCCTTGGGATTGATAATTCCCTTGCAGTTTATGAATCCCTGGATTGTTCTGGCAAATTGTAATCATACTGTCCTTTAAGCCTGTTCATGTGAACTCATCCCAGTGCTTGTACACTTATTGGCAAAAATATATTTATCACTTATTTCATGCAATAAACATTTTTCCTAAAAAATATTCAGGCAGTGGAAATTAATTTTAACCTTTCTATTACGATTTTAACCATGCACTTTAATACAAGGAATTTCAAACCTGCACACCTTCAGAAAGCTAGTCAAGTGTGTCAGAATATGCTGTGTGAGGTACCCATTGTGTCATATGCTCTTGAATACTGCCAGCATTGTGAAAATGTCAGACAGTTGTTGATTGACTTACATACATACCTGTTGATGCATCATAGATCATTGTTGGAGTCAGTGCAGGAGATAGATGATCTAAGCTTTTGTCAGCCACAGCTTTGCTAATGTAAAATATTGATAAGTGACAGGCTGGTGTAAAGACATAAGGATGGAGAATTGATTTGGCTATTAAAATGGTGGTTGCTAGGTATGGAAACTCCCACATGGACCAGAGTCTGGGGACTGAGAATTGATTTGGTTGTCTTCTGTATTCATTACCCATGTTACATTATTGCCGAATCATTATGTGCAGTAGTTGTCAGATTGACATTAGTATTCTTTAGCTCTACTCTTATATAATTTTGATGAAAGAGTTATATGATTGGTTACTATGGTAAAGATAAACCAAAATGTGTATATTCTTGTTTTATGTCTGCGTATTGATGATGTTTGAGCGATAATCAGAATCTACTTTAAGATAAATTGAAATTCACAATTTTTTAAATGAAATTTACCATATTTTAATGAATTGTACAATGTTGTAAAACAGGTGTTCTATGTACTCTTAGTACACAGCTGGAAAATTATGTTTTGTGAACTTTTAAACACAAAAAAATAGCTAGCTCTTAATTTAGAGTATGAATATGCAGCCATTAGCGTCTAAATCACCGACATCTCATGAAGACAAATTAGCGATGGTGTTCAGCTCGAACAAGCCATGTCAGAGACGTCTTAACATCACACAAGTCTGCAGTAGGGTAAACATACCGTCACCGGGAGAATGATGTCTCAAGCAGTTGCTTGTCAGATGCACAGCTAAGCCTCAGGCTACGGACTTTCACACTCCTGATTGCCCAGACAATAATTAAACAAAACCAGAGGATTATCATCAGCTTCTGAGCTATTAGATCAGTCTTTGGTCAGTCTGCATGCTACTGTGGCCGT